GCATCTGCTGTCACTGGTCAAACAATATCGTCTCTCCCCACCTTTGTTGGAGAGCCTTCTTGTTCGGAATTCTTTAGACATACGAGTTCAAAGAATTTGGGTGAAGGAGCCAGAAGATGGGTTTTTCGATCAGCTTTTGCTCGCTCCCATAAGTTTTCTTGTCGGAATCTTCTTCTCTATCGGACAAAGGACCCGATCTCGCACATGCTAACCCCCGAGCATTATATGGCGGCTTCTCGTTGGGCAACCCTAATCCACAACATTTTGATGACGTGGCTTCATCCCGACCTTTGCTTGGTTTTCCTTGCCACGTGGACGACCAACAACAATAACACCCTTTTGACTGGTCTTCAGGACTCTTTACCCTGGGCCAATCATGCGCCCTCCTGGTCCATCTCCTCCGCAGTCCAAGTTGCTACCATTGGACTTCCTTCTAACCCGACAAACAGCTTCTCTGGGCCAGGGTTTGAAGCCCACGTAACTACATTCAGACCCTACAACCCATGTCCCTCACACCCCTTTTTTGGCCTCTCCCCAGTCTCTTTTCTCTGCCCACCCCAAACCCAGCCCACATCACACAATCCATTACCCAACACCCAACCCCATCCCTGACAACCCCCAGTCAAAATTCACCCTATCTCCCACCCACCCACTTACCAGCCCAAACACCTTTCAACCCCTAGCCCGCATCAACTGCAGAAATAGGGCACCCACTAGCGGCTGATTCCACAGCCAGACGATCGTCGCCGCATCTCCGTCGTCGCCCATCGACCCAGCGCCAGCGCCGACGACCCCCTATTCACCAGAGTTCTGTATTTTTTGACTGAAATTCTTGGCCCCAGGCCCGTTTCTTTGATGAGCCTCGTCTTATCGGTAGTTGGCATCTCAGCCACACTTGTCGGAGCTCCCAAGACTGGACAGCCCCCGACGGGCACCCTTCTGGGCCCTTCCACGGCCATCAGGACCATCCCAACTTCTATGTCGGCGACACCAGAAACGATTCCCGCCAGCCCACGATCCTTTCGAGATGCGATATCTGACCAATCCGCTGGTAAACTGGGACGACAGGGATTTTCGCTCAAACAATTATGGGCTAATCACCGTGGGGATGTCTCGTGCTCCGAGGAGGGACGACTTAAGTTGAGTCTTCTAGAGCTTGATGTTTATTTTCTTGTCGAGTCGTACGACAATGCCTTGATTTTTAAGTTCTCTTATACTGTCTCAAACCTCTGATTTTAGGTTTGGATTATGAAAATTAGGGCATAAGGGTAGTTTCACTGTCAGGTGTTCAAGTACACCATTGACTTCTCCATGTTGGCTGAGGCACCTATTACCCCTGTTTGGTGTCACCTTCCAGGCCTTCTTCCGCAACTTCACGATCCTAGTTGTATCGGCAATCCAATCGAGGTTGACGTCACCATGATCAACCAGACTAGAATATCTGTCGAATGGGTGTACGTCGAGATAGACCTCCGCGGCGAGCTCGTCGATTAGATCGAGATAACCAGACTGAGAAGAACACCATTCAGAAGAAGGTCTATTAAGGGTCTTGTCTTACTGCTTTCTATGTGACCACGTGGGTCATGTTGGGGTTGATTGCTAGACTAGCGGCAACAAGCCCAGGTCGTCGCTTACGCAGCGCTGCCGTGCGACAAGGTCGGGCCCTCTTACAGCTCTAAAGGACCCCAAGGAAAAGGGCAAAGCACTTGCCCATGCGCCTGAGTCCCTGAAGTGACACAAAGACAAGGGCAAGGTAGTTTTTGAGACTGCCACTCAGGCTTAGAAGGCTGCACAGCCTAACCGACCCAAGGGGCAGGCTATGGACGAACCAAAGGCCAAGTCTAAGGGTTTCTTCCCTCCCAAGTCTCTTCAAACAACCTCAATGGCTAACTACTCTTATTTCTCTATCCTTGCTTCTGAGATGGAGGATGAGTCCTCATCCTCCTCTTGCCCTTTAAGAGACACGTCTAGTCTCCCCCTTGACGACAACGACATCTTGGATGATGAGACATACTTGCCTGACATTCAGTGGGTGACGAGCCTTCACCACTCCACGACGACAGGTCACGTGACGTAGCTCCATCTAACAAGCACGTTATCTCCGAGGAGGGATCTTAGGTCTCTAGGACCAATTCCACATCCATTCCCCCACAAAGAGGCTGAGTCACCCCCTGCTATTTCCACCGAGAGTGTGCACTTGGTTGTGTGCACAACCAGTGCCTCTTGTCAGCCTAAGGTCGAGGACGATTAGCCCGCCTCTTGGCTCTCCCCCTCCACCCTTCCTACAGGAGTTGGGCTTCACACCTGATCGGGCTCTACACATCGAAAGACCAGAGGTGACAACATGTGCACTCTATTTTAGAGGAGGTGGACCAGCTTGAGGGTCCGCGCTCTGAGAGTTCCGATGGTAATCGACCTCGTACCAGATTTAGGACTGCACATCGCTCGGTCTGCCGGACGTTACCCCACTCAAATGGTTCGATTCAGCCTAGCCACAAACGGACCCAGTCGGGTGGCACCTCTGACATTTGATATGTCAGTCACATCCCTAACTTGGAACCCCCATGGCCTGGCGAATAGGGCCACCCTAGCTCGTATTACCTCTCTTGTCTGTGACCATAGGCTCGACTTTGCCACTTTTATCGAGCTCATGACCCGCACCTTCTTTTGACTTTTATTCACGTCGCCTTAGTTTCCACTTGGCGTAGGATACATATGTAATATAATTTGTTTTTTTCACTCGCGTGACTACACTTGTTGGGTCATCCATGATATCATGCAGGTGTTGCACGTTGAACTTTTTGTTGGCCATTTTCCTGAGCCCATGCGTGAGATTGCTGAAAGTACAGAGAGATACCGTGGATGGTAACAGTGATTTCAACATCTTTTTATATACCGATGAGTGCATTGGTGGCCGGTCAGGCCGCTCAGCGGAGATCAGGATTTCTCTCAGGCGGTGATGGACTGTGAGTTAATTGACACTAGTTACGAAGGTTCCCCCTTTACTTGGGAGCAGGGTGGAGTCAAGGAGAAGCTCGACCGTGCCTTGGTCTCTGATGCATGGTCGAGGGTGTTTGTTGTTACGACCGTCACACACTTTGCTCGAATCGAGTATTATCACGCTCCCCTCCTCATCCTCTGTAGATTCTCGAGCATCTCTCGTCGCTCTTCTTTTCGGTAAAAAATATGTGGATTCGCCACCATACTTTCCATGACACTATTAGGGATTCATTATTGCATCAAACTGGGCTATTCGAGATGCACAACCTGGAGGCCAAGCTCTAGAGGTTGCGACGCAGGTTGAAGCAATGGAATTGAGATGTTTTTGGAGACCTCTCCCAGCCCCTTTCTGCAGCTCAGAGTGCGTATGCTGATGTTAAGCGAGCCTATGATCTGGACTAGCTCTGACTTCTTATGGAAGAGGACCGCGATGCGTCTGTGTCACGCTGAGTACCAGCTCTGACTTCTTATGGAAAAGGATTTTTAGAAGCAGAAGATTGTTGTTTGCTGGGTTGCTGAGGGGGAGTGTAATACCAAGTACTTTCAAGGGTTTATGAGGCAGAAGCGTGTCAAGTCATATATCCATATTATCGAGGACAACATGTCATCCCTGACATAGGATCCAATTACGAGAGTCGATCGTGGCGCACTTTAAGTCTTTTCACCTAAAACAGAGACTTACGTACGACCCCCAACCCTTCATTCTTCCCCACCATCCCTCAGCAGGTCGACCTTGTTGGCCATTGTGAGCTCCTATACAGAGAGAAGATTAGGGAAGCTGTTTTTGGGATTAATCCCAACGGTGTCTTTATCCTGGATGGATTATTATCAGCCTTCTATCAGGCTTGCTGGGATCTTGTTGAGGCTGATGTTGAGGAAGCTGTGGTGGATTTCTTCTCTTGTTAACAGATGTTCATCTTGATCCCAAAAAAGCCTTGCCCGAGCTCTTGGTCAGATTATAGGCTTATCAGCTTATGTAATATGACCAACAAGCTCATCCCCAAAATTCTTAGCGGGCGTCTTGCCCCTCTCCTTCCTTCTCCCACTCTCCGAACCAGAGTGGTTTCATCAAGGATCGATTCATTAGTAATAACATTATTTTGGCTCAGGAGATGATCCACGACATCTCTCATGTGAATTCCGTTGCGAGTCTAAACCTTGCGTTGAAGCTAAACATGGTTAAGTCATGTGATAAGGTCGAGTGACCCTTTTTCAAGGCGGTGATGGTTAGGATGGGTTTCTCGGAGTTGTGGGTCAACTTTGTGGAGGCGTGTGTTGAGCACTGCACATTCTGGGTTCTTGTTAATGGGAGACCCACCGACTTTTTCCCTTTGTCTCGGGGCCTCCGGCAGGGGGATCCTCTCTCCCACTCACTTTTTGCCCTGGTGGCGGACTACCTTTTTCATTGCCTTGACACCTTCATCCGTGATAACCTGAGGATGACCTACAACACAAGTGACTATGGTCCTCCCATCTCGCGCCTCTCTTATACACCTTTTAGAGAACTATGGCTCGGTCACTGGTTACCTCGTCAGCATGCAAAAGAGCACCTTCATCCTCTCCCCTCCCATTGCGGACCGGTGGGTGCAGTGGGTCCACGAGCACACTGGCTTCGCTCATGGCGACCTCCCCATCACCTATCTTGGCGCCCCTTTGTACAAGGGTCATCTCATGAGTGTGCTTTTAGCGGATGTCAGACAGAGGATAATTGAGCGGATCTCTGGCTGGTTGCACAGACATCTTTCTTTTGGGGGTCGACTTGCGCTGATCAGGAGCATCTTTAGCACCTTCCCCTTCATCTCCTTATGGCCCTCGATCCCCCTCAATCCATAGTCCACGAGTTAGAGCAGATCATGGATCGTTACTTCTGGGGCATGTGGAAGGCTACTGGAGGGTGAGAAAGGTCGAATGGGTGAAGTGAGATTCCATTTGCCAACTTTTTCCGAGGGTGGCCTTGGGATCTGCCGCTTATCAAATGTCATCACCTTCTCTTATAAAATGTGGTGATGCTTCTGGGAGGGAAAGTCACTTTGGAGTCATTACATTCGCAGAAAGTACTGCCTTAGAGGTGCCTGTCATGCCTATAAGGTGACGACCATTGTTCATGATAGTAGACAGTAGAGGTGGCTCACTAGGGTAGGTAGGCGTGCCCAGGAGCACATATTCTAGATGCTGGGCAAAGGGGATATTAGCTCTTAGGACGAGTGATGGTTTGGTAAAGGACCTTTTTCGAGCACTAGGCATGTCACTCACTCTCCTTCTCTGCGGGTGAAGGACTTGTGGTCTGAGGGTGCTTGGGTTAGAGATAGACTAGAGAGGGTGTTAGGTATTGGAGCGGGCTTTAGTGACCAGGTTTTATCAGATTCAGTAGATACCCATCTTGAAAGACGGTTTGGGCGATATGAGTTGGATACTTACATATTTGGGTGCATTTTCTACGACCTCGGCTTAGGGGGGAAGTTCGACTGGGTGCCTAAGATTCTCTTCGGGGCCCTTTGGACCAGCCTACGTATCTCGACCATCTCTGTCTTTGTTTAGTACTAACTTTGTTGAACAAATAAAAATTACTTGTACATGTTGTTAAAGCGTATAAAAATCAAACTACTTCATAATAAATTGATACAAGATTCAACTTTATGCTTTTTTTTGTACTGTAATAGTACTTACATATAATTCATATAGTACATACTCAGAATATATTGATAATGTTTCATCCAAAAACCTATTCTGACATCTTAAACATATACTTACAAAATAGGGTTAATTGCTAAATAAACCTTAATCTTTTTGAGTTTGGTAATTTTATCCCAATCTTTGGGTAATTGCAATATAATCTCGACCTCAATTTACTTATTGCAAATTTGGGTGTAGAGTGATTGATTTTACGGATTTGTGGATCGGTTTTGTGTCTAAGTCTTCCACTGACATGGGTTTTTATGCCATTCACGTAGCAAGTTGACAATATCCACGTATTTAATGTATATCAACGCACAAAGCCAAAAATTCTACGTCAATGTTAACTACCGGTGATGAGTATCCTCGTAGATCTGGAGTGAACCGAGAAATATGAGCTCCGATCTGTTTGAAACGCCTTCAAATCGACCAATTTTTTGATGGTCCAACCGGTTTTAAGTTCGACTTGCAATAAGTAAATTGAGGTTGAGATTATATTGCAATTACCCAAAGTTTGGGATAAAATTGCCAAACGCAAAAAGGTTAAGGATTATTTAGCAATTAACCCTACAAAATACACACGACTAAAACAGATGACCCTTTTGCATACTAAACAAAATACATTGCACTGATCTAAATATGTTCATTGCACATAAATGTTTACCACAATTCTTACACCGTCTAACCGCAACATCAACTTATGATGAGGATAATTTTTTTCTCTCTTACACCCAGTACAACTTTGGCACGAAGGACATCATCATTACGTAAATCAATTATTTTATGTTCATAGTTAGGTTAAGAATCATATAGTTTTTAACATTCTTCTAAATTGAAATGCACCATAAAAGATCACTCTCTCTCCATTGATGCAATAGCGTCAAGAATCAATTGAATGATTTTGCAATAACTAATTTCTTAGAAACTAATAAAATATGATCGTCATACAACTATACCATCTTTCAGTAATGAACTAATCAATGATACAAGAATAATCATTACTACTTATTGAGATGGATTGAAGTCCATTATCTTGTATTTAATATTGTTCAGCTGCCAACATATCTATAATGGTTTCTTTCCAATAAAAGGGCTACCGAAACATATTCTTCATATTGTCATCATCAGTTAAACTCACTTGATTCTTTTCATAGGGCACAATGTAGCGGAAGATAAAAAACTACAAATTTACATTTGGCTACTTCTTAGCAATAAGAGTGAATATATAATATTCTGCTTTTTCCTGGATATTCGGGTTCAAATACCCAAGGATTTGCTGTTTGCTTACTGGCTTCGTATAATTCCGGGTGGATCACCGGTCGGGATGGATGCTCAAGTTTAAAACTTAGTCTGACGTGTATAGAGAAGACGAATACTTCATTATTATAGTAATAATATCTTAATAACTCAATTTGTATCTCTTAGATAGTGATAGATATATCTAACAATAATTTAAAATTTAAAATGACTTGGATAAATGAACTTCAAACTTTCGAGCAAAAATTAGTATGCATACTCAATAGAACTATGTTCATCTACGAGAAATTGACATAACCTGGTATAATATATGAACAACAATCAATAATCATTAACACCTCCAAACAACAATAACAAATAGAAAAAAAAAAAAAA